CAGTAGTGTTCAGTTCCAGCTCCAGTCCCTCAAAATCTATTAACTTCTGTAACAAATCACTTGCCTCATTCCGTACATGGGTCATACTTGTTGTTGTTAGTTTGAACGCTCATCTGCCGTCGCAGATATCGATATACCTGCGTGACTCTTCAGACATGAGAGGGTCCAGCGACCCCATCATCGCCTTGTCTTGGCATCCTAGGCATGCTAGTCCTGCGTCCTGGCTCCTGGTTCCAAGGTCTGGTCACTAGTCGATCATACCTCAGGAACGCGATGTCTCCCCTCGCCCTGGCCTCCTTTAACTTCGGCATCAATTCCCTTCTTTTCATCCTCACATACTCGGTGTAATCTTCATTTATGTAAATGTTAGATCCTTTGAACTTCTTTGCTTGTTGCAATATTTGTGTCTTATCTTTCTCTTTCATCAACTTCACCAATACCGTCCTCGGTTTCACACTGGAGGCAAATTTTCATACTTTTTTATTTCGCACGTCAATAATAATTTTTGACGTGCACATCAATGATGTAATGTCGCGGCATTTACTTTTTTCATCCAAGGTTGATTTTTTCTAACTTTTCGCCGACAACGCAGCTTGCTGTGACATTGTGACACTGTTAGCGCATGGTGAACCATAAGCTAACGCTACCTATTAAAAGCATGTTCAGTATACATTTTACCTCAGACATAACGCCAGGCACTATTCCGGATCGATTGGGCCTACAAGTGCTGTGGCGGCAGCAACAACTCAAGATGTCCCACGGACATGCTGATGTAGGTCCAAACATTGCCATGGCACAGCCTGAGCGCCTGCACCAAGCAGTGAAACTTCCAAAGTTGCCTTTTTATTAATATAGGATGCACTCCTTTACTTTTCAGAAGCAGCACCTGCTTGACGTGGACTTTGTAGTGAAACATTTTAGAGCTTCACATTTCACATTGGCATCGTGTTTGTTGTGAAAACATGTGGTGCGCTTAAATCGCCTCTGGAAAAAAAATCGCCATTTCGTATAGTTCATTCACGTCATTCTGCACGTGAAAACACCTTAAATAAGAATATTAAAGGATAAAGTAATGACAAAAGTATGAAAACAACTTCAGGCTGGTTACAGTGGGATTTTAAACAAGTGGATGTTTTTACACTGGAATTTCTGTTATTCTCAGCACTCTGAATCATGCTGTCACCACGGAGAGGGTGACCTGATGTTCTCTGTTGCCATGGAGATGTGACCTGATGTTCTCTGTTGCCATGGAGATGATGAAACAGATTGTGGGTCAGATTCTGATGATCAGCTGCAGTTTATTTAAAACATTACCATTATTCACTGCGGACGTGTCTGTCAGTTCCCCTACAACACAAATGTGTCTACACATGACCCTGGGACAGACCGTGAGATAGACTCTGAGGATGGACCCTGATGCTTTACTTTAGTAAAAGTACCAATATGCAGAGCAAAGTATTAAATTACAAGTAAAAATCTGATCCACAAAAATCTACTTTTCAGTCTTAACAGGTAAAGTACTGAAATTGTTAAAGTATTTGTTGTGCAGAAAAGTGATATAATGCTACATACATTTACAGCAATAATGCAAATAACTTTGTACAAAGTACAGAGCTAATTTTAGTTACATTAAAATTGTGAATTACTTTGGTACATGACATGAGTTTTGCCACATTATTCTTCAACAAAAGGAAAATACACAAACAAAAATGCCCTAATGTTATAATGACAAAATAAAAAAGGTTTGTTTTAAGAACATTTGTTGGTTTGTGAAATAATGAGATAC